GAGATTTTGCGCATGTGGTTCCATGCGTAAGTGTGGCTTAATGGCAGAAGAGCATTACCGACAAAGACAAGGCAGACTGGAATGGCCATTTCTGGCTTATTGGCCGTCGTCAGCCAGCCATACCCAAGCCCGAAGTGTGGAACACCCGAGCCTCGAACTCGCGACCTGTTGGTTTAGAAGTCCACGCCTCTACCCACCGGGCCACGAGCCCGTTGCCCTGTCGGTTTTCGATCGGGAATATACAATGTTCGGGGGCGCTCGCCGATCGTTCATACGGAACTCACTCGTTCCGTTGTGCATTAAGGGCTGTCTCTCGAGCCCAACCAGCAGCCGCACAGCGGCGCATGATACATAGGCAGAAGAGCATTACCGACAAAGACAAGGGGGCCTGCAATGGCCATTTCTGGCTTATTAGCCGTCGTCAGCCAGCCATACTCAAGCCCGGATTTCCACACTTCGGGCTTGGGTATGGCTGGCTGACGACGGCTAATAAGCCAGAAATGGCCATTCCAGTCTCCCTTGTCTTTGTCGGCAATAGCATTCTGCCTATGTATCATGCGCCGCTGTGCGGCTGCTGGTTGGGCACGAGAGAGAGCCCTTAAGGCACAACGGAACGAGTCAGTTCCGTATGAACGATCGGTGAGCGCCCCCGAAAATTGTGGCTTAATGTTTGCTGGGGGAAATTTTTATTGAATGTTTGGGACAGTATTCGGAAAAACCCAATCTGACATCAAGCCGTTAGTTGGATGTTATTATATATTTTGTACTAATGCATAGAATCTATGCTCTTTGGTGTACCCGGCTTTTGCGTAGACAAGCCGCATGCATATCCACAAATTACGTTATCTTCCTTAACAAGAATACTCGAATTTTTGCATTTACAATTTCCCTAAAAAAGTTATTTTTGTCAACGAAATATAACGTCAAATCCTTCGTTTTTATGTTTAATCTTACCGGGAGTCCTCAGTTTGTAGGTGGGAGTTCGTGGACGTAGTTGGGCCCATTTCCGATAAGTTGATGATTTTTCATGGAAATTTTTTTGATTTGTCAAATTTCTATTTCGTGAGTTACATCGTCTGCTAATGTATGTATAGGTGGCAATGAGAAACCAAAACGACCATTTCTGGCCTAGCAACCGTCATCAGTCAGCCATACACAACTCCAGGTGTGAATCACCTGAGATTAAAAGATTGATCCTTTGTTAATTAAGTCTAAAATTCCACCACTGGGCGACGGATCCCTCGTGCCGTCGCCCACTCAGTGTGTTCCGCATTATCACAAGCGCTATTCTCACACACAACCAACAGAACGAAGGACCCAGAACTCGTTTGTGGAGTGTCAAAGCCAACGACTAGGGAATCCCTGCTTGAATCCCTGTTGACCAACACACGCACTTTTGTGTGGCCGACTGACGACGACTAACAGGCCACAAACGACCATTCCGTTCCCACTTATCTTTATCACTAGCCGATTATCTGCCATATGCCAGGTCATTGCCTATGGGGACTGTAGATAGAGCTCCAAGGCGTAGCAGAACAAACACCCGTAACCTTGTCGGTTAGCGCGACACTTCCCTGAGACACACGCACATGCATGACAGTCGAGGTTCGTATATCTTACCCTGTTTTTTATTTTCCAGAAAAGACGCGGATGCGAGGTAACGAGTTATAATGACCGGATTACGTCCGTACAGGCATTTCGAAAACTTCCACGCTCATAGCATCAGAATAATGCGGTGACTGTTCCTACTCGTCCTGAGGTATGCAGTCATACCGCCTGTCCGTTAGATTAAGTGTTGGAATTGCAGAGCGGGACATGACCATCATGTGTAGCAAAGTCGTCGGAATCAAAAACCGATCAAATCCCAAGAAACAGTATGGGGTAACGCATCCTTTCCCCTACCAAAACCGCCTGTGTACTTACACAGGTTTGACTGAACGCAAGCTAAGTTCAGGCGTACTTGAACATGCCTGGCTGTGCGATAGCGTGAAGAATCATCCAATGTGATTGCTCATACCTTCGGAAGGGGGAATGTGGTCAGATTCGCAGCCGCCAGGACAAACATTCATTTCTTAAGAGAGATATACTGATGATAACTCAGTCAACCGAATAATCAATATGCGGTTCGCATACAGAACCTGTGTAGTCACCTTCAGACCTGTGGCTCTGGTCGTTGATTGGCTAAAGATTCGTACAATTGCCACTTATTGTGATGTTGCGACCATCTCCGCAAATGAACTCCTGGATGAGTTTCAGATCTCCGTGAAAATAAGCAAATGATTCCGATGCTCACTCAGTCGCCATGTCCATTATCGACGCAAACGTGTATTAAGCACGTTTCGGAAGCTGTCGGCCGTCTTCTCGCAAAATTTGGGGTTGGAGTTGAACACAGGCCGGAGGCAACCATCAGGCGTCAGGTAATGAACCCGCTGCCACGTCAAGAAAAGTATGGATCTGGTGCAGTTGCGGACAGAGCAACTACGTCGGAGAAACTGAAAGACAGCTCCTAAAGCGAATGGCCGGACACGCTGCAGCGGTGCGGTGAAATGACGCCAGTCCTCGAGTTGCGGCTCATTCGACGAGATCCGGCCACACATTCAAATTTATCGAGGCCGAAATTCTTGCAGGAGGTGACAACTGCGTGAGCCGGGAGCAGCTTCAGTCATTGTTTGCTGGTCCCCATTCCATAAACAAGTACAATGGACTCCCACCGTCCATACTCGATGCTGAGAATTCGGCTGGCAGGAGTAAGTGGCCACGCGGGGAGCACACAGGTGAAAACTTTTTCATATTACCAGGGTCAGTGTGTCAGTTGGTCGGGTAATCATCACGCCAACATATAATGCACGTGATGAAATTGCAGCTACTAACGACGCGAATGTCTGCCATCAAACAGCCATCACACCACGTACAACGATCGCTACTGAAGGAGGGAAGCCGTGAATATTCATAGGTATGCAGTAGCATTGCGACTGCTTCTTCTAATTACTGCAGTCCCTTATGCATGGACCACCCGTATCTGCTTTTGTCTCTGATGATGGGATCGAGCAGGAATCCGAAACGTCAGGCTAATAAAACTCTTGTCCTAGCGATCGTGTCTCCTTCTTCAAAATTGGCACAAATACCTGGACCGCGAACGTCCGCCCCCATTCGAGAACGACAGATTTAAAGACTGAGACAAGAACTCTTCAAGGATCGGCCAGATCCTCGTTAGTGGTAATCTTCCGCATCCAGTGTGTTTAAATATCCAGCATTATGCAAACATTTTACCTATTTGTGTAAAAAACCTTGACCAATTAGTATTCACCTACCTTAAGGGCAGACTTGCAGCCAATAATTTTTTCTTTTCTTGGTTTGGATTGGCGTTTGTGAAACAGTTAGTTGACAGATCACAGATCCTGGCATGGAAGTGTCACAGAAAAGCCTTTATTTGGGGGGGAGGAGGGTGCACAAAGTGCCTCCTAGGAAGTTGGGTAAGTCCCTGTCAGCGAGTTGGGGACAACAGCTCTCTCTACAGAAAGCTCACAGTTACACACGCATAAGGTGTCTAGTCGGTAGTAGTGTTGGGGGAAGTAAACGAGCGCACACGCAGTCCTGTGGTGTGGGGAGCTTGATACTTGTGCCTAAAATGTGGGCTCGCCACCAAAATACCAGCATTCCATGTCACGCACATTGCGTCCCGTTTTCCGGACACGGGCGCACGGCATTATTGTTCGAGTGGTAAGACGTTATGGCCTGCCTTCATCCGACTCGACCAATAACGACGTCTAGGTTGGGTACAGCGGCAACTTTCCCCACCATTTAACTTAGAAACGATCTCGGGATGAAATTTAAGCTCAAAATGCAAAAGGAAAAAGTGATTATGTTAAGACCTATTTGTGGAGGCATAGCTGCTGCAATACGCCCGATAAAATTCGGCTGTCTTATTTGCAAGAAGGCGTACATAGCCTTTTTTCTCCTCTTGGCACCTGCCACCGTTCCAGGGGTTGGACCTAAACGGGAGTGAAGACACCAAAGCCCAGTCCGAGGGTTCGTTCATCGTGCAGTTTTATGACATTTGACCAATAAAACTATAAGGAGATAGTAGTAAACTGTGATTCCCAGAAGCCATATCAAAAGACGAGGAGGTGTTCATTGGTAGAGGTTATTTAGAGGTCTGGCGTTTCGAGTAGTTGTTTCGCTTTCCCATCATCAGAGACGGGAAAGTCATGCGCGCAGCTCTCGTTACATGGCTCAAGTTGTCAGATGCGTGACCCGTCATTGCTGTCGGTGTGGCCGTTGACAGAACAGTCGATAGACATCCAGGCTTCTTGTGACTGTCTTGCCGTATGATCATCACCTCGGCCCACAATCTCAACGGCGTCAAAGTCAAACATGTGTCCCATTTGGACAACATGGTATGTGACCACCGACTTTGGACCCAACCTTCGCACGACAAACTTATGCTCATGCATTCGCGTTTGCAGCAGTCGGCTGGTTTCTCCAACGTAGTTGCACCTTCCACATTTGCATTGAAGTCGGTAGACCACGGCCGACATCTCCTGCTTAGGGAACGGATCTTTTGGCCGCATCACTTGTTGGGGGATTGTTGAGTCAGGCCTGTGGGCTACACCTATTACGAGTAACGCGAGGGATCTAGCCAACGGCTTCGGAAACCCCTTTAATGTACGGACGGATCCGCCACCAGCTTGACTGACTCTGCCCTTCATTCAGTTTCTTGGGCTACCTTCAGCTCCGTTCATTGAATGCCCGCGGATAGCCCTTGGCTCTGAAGAGTTCTTGGAGGAGCTTTATCTCGTCCAGTTAAGTGGCTGGCGTGCTGCAATGAGTTTCCATCTGTCGGTATGGTGTGCGGACACAGCTTCGTTTGTGTTGTAGCGGGTGGCTGTAGTTGTAGCTGAGCATTTGCGGCGTGTTCGCCGGCGTTCTGTAGACTGACGTCGCTAGTTTGCCTTCTGGTTGGCGGCAGGCGAGAACATCCAAGAATTAGAGTTTGTCCCCTACTTCCTCTTCCGTCGTGAACTGTAGACGGGATTGACTGAATTCAGTATTTTCGTATAGAAGTTGAATTTATCCCGATCGATGATTACAAGGGTGTCATCAACGTAACGTGTCCAAAACTTGGGTTTGTACTCCTCTAATAGTCGTCTATCGAGTTTTTGTAGAACTGCCTCGGAAATGAGCCCGAAGATTGGTGGACCCATTGGAGAGTCCTTGATTTGCTCGTACGTGATTCCTTCGAAGGTAAAGAATGTCTTGAGGCAGTTTCCCACGAGTTCTATGAGATCCTGGTCATCGTCCCCGTCGTAATTTTGCCGTAGCAGGTCAGTGAGCATTTCGACCGCAAGGGCCTGAAGACATGAAGAGTGAGACGACGTCAAAAGACACCATCCTCTAATTCGGTTCGATTGTGACTACCCTTATTTTGTAAAGGAACTGTTCTGCTGAGTGCATCGTTGTCTGTGAGTCTGAAGCTAAGAATCTTAGCTTCTGAAATAGCCATTTTTCAAGCCCATGTGTGGGTGTGCCTCGGAGTGAGACGATTGGACGGAGGGGAACATCCGGCTTGTGTACTTTTGAGAGACCTTAGAATCCCGCTATAGCAGTTTCTGGGGGCATTGCCATTTACCATATGATGACCTTGTCCTCCTTTGGTTGAGCCAGATTTCTGTTAACTTTTGCGACTAGGGACTTTAGACTGGCGGCATCGCCGACTTTATAGGACTCACGATCGTTGAGGAGCATGAGGGCTTTGTGTCGGAAGTCTACCTTGTCAAGGATAACGGTCGACCGACCTTTGTCAGCAGGCAGAATAACTATTTCGGTGTCCTCTTTCAGCTCCCTTAGGGCCTTTCGTTCATCTCTTATCAGGGAATGGGTTTTCCGGTGCGACACGAGAAGTGGGGAGACTTGATGTCGAAGAAGGTCCTTTGCCTAGTCTCTGGCGCGGGTTTGACGAAACACCTATTCGAACAAGAAATGGGGATGACCAGGTCGGCGTCAGTTATGCTAAAACCAGATCCACGTTGTATAAATTTTGTCTGTGTCACCGTAAGTTGTTTTGACGAGAGGTTATCTACTAAGATTTGTTCAGCTTTTTGGGCTTGTGCGGTCTGCAGTGCAATGAACTTTACTGTTAAGTCAGCATCTCTGTTAGCACGTCTTTTTCGTCCTTATGCTATTAAGGTGCTCTCAAATGTGGTGACAGTCGATTCACTCCACCGGCGTGTAACAAATATTCTGAAGTTTTCGGCACTGTGTGCGTATTTCTTTAGTCACAGCTGACAATTTTGTATGCGTACTCTTGTCATTCGCCTTCTATGGAAGAACATCGTTTGTTTAGCCAATTCCGTGTTGACTGGAGGCTTGTAGGAGAGGCATTTTGGCAAAACATAGTTGGCAAGCGATGCTGCCAAAATAACCGATCCCAAAGCAGGAGATGTCGGCCTTTGTCTCCCGACTTCAATGCAGCTGCGAGATGTGCAACTACGTTGGAGAGACCGGTCGACGGCTGCAAACGCGAATGCTCGAGCATAAGTTGGCCGTGCGAATGTTGGACCCAAAGTCGGTGGTTGCAACTCATGCCGCGCAAATGGGACACATCTACAACTTTGACGCCGTCGAAATTGTGGCCGGGGGCGGTGATCATACAGCAAGGCAAGTGCAAGAAACCTGAATGTCAACCGACTGCTCTGGCAACCGCCACATCACTTTGCCTCCCCCCTATCTGACTTTACGAACCTTCTTAACGGGGGACAGCCGCGGCGCGGGACAAATTGGGCCCTCATGGGCCGATGGGGGGCGCGGGGGCGATTGAGGTCACGATGACATGCGGGTTGGATGCAGCCACAAAGGTGTCATTGGCGGGTCACGCATTGAACAAAGTGCGCCATATAAGAAGAGCTGTGCGCAGGACTTTCCAGTCTCTGAAGATGGGTAGACGAATCAACGACTCAAAACGTCGGACCTCCAATAAACCCCTCCTGGTAATCGGTATTACAACGGTGCCTAAGTAATCCTTCCTAATCGAAAACGCATTCCAGAATTTTGACCATATTTCATGAGGTCTGTCACGAGATCTCTCACTTTATATGTTAAGGGCTGCTCATTCGTGACCGGATATCTTCATAGACACTGGCCCGCACAAATTTGAGCAGCTCACATGCGACAGAATCGGTCGATAAGTATCATAATTGCAAGTCTACTCTCTGTAGCCTTATTAGCATTTCCAATCATATCTATTTCCCCTTTCAGCTTTCTCAGGCGTCGGTTTGATTCTACCACTTTTTGTAGACTGTATGCAATCGCTAGACATGATCATAACTGCACGAGTTCCTCAACATTTTCGATGTAATTATTGGCTTCGGAAAACGTCCCTATTAGTGAGCGGTAACAACGTAAATGTGGATAACTTGGGGATAGTCATGGCGAATCGAGGAGACGGGCGAAAGTTCACTTAGCCAAATTTATGCTAACGTCTAGGACAAAGTACATAAATATTAACACAGTGCGGTTTTTGGCTGATGCGCGTCTATTTACTTGATGTATTCCTTTACCAAGAGCTGTTCATTCGGCGGTCATCGCTAATGGCCTCAACTACTTGGCAGGATAGGCCCAATAGGCGCTATCGTCGAATTTTACAAATCCAGAAAAATGACTATGTGGGTTAACAACTTTATGGGAGAATGTTTACCATTTTTATTTGTTGTCTCCTAAAATCTATGCTGGTAGTACACAAGAATTTTGCGTTTTAAAGTTTCGTGAAATAAAGAGAAAGCGACCAAGTAAAATTAGTACAAAAGGAAAATAACGCATCGTCTATTATTACATAAAACTAACCACACATATTATGTGTCTTCAAATAGCCTTTGCGTTACTGAAGGCAGCTAGACATGTTTGGTCTAAAAACGTCAGAATAGAGGACAACGAGGACAATTAAGTAAAACGTGACAGATTTTTGAAGAGCACAAAACGTACAAATAATTTTTAACAAGTCAAACGCTGGGTCCCCCAGTGACGGTGGTAAAAAAACAGAATTTTTCGGAAGAAATAATTAGAACCAGTTAAGATTTAGCTGCTACTGCAGATGGTTGTGAGATACAATAGTCAGTGGTCTACGCTACGGCACATCGCTCGTGGGATT